ACCTACTATCAGGCTCGGGGACTAAGTGGGCACACTTCACCTTGCGGTGAGTGTGTTTTCTTTAACCTAGAAGACTCCATGCCTCCCAAAGTTGAAGAAGATTAACTCCCTTTCTCGTGGTCGGACTCTAAGTGGGCACACTTGGTTCACGGCGAGAAAAAATTTGATTTTGAACTTGAGCTCCTTACATCCCTATGGCAAGCCTTACTTGGGTACTCTGCTCGACGATGGTTCACAACTGCTCGATGACTCATTAGGGTGGTTGGACTATGAGTCTGACTGCTCGGCTTTGTTCACACCTGCTCGGACAAGCTCAAGACGGCGTTGCACAGCGGATACAAGGCGCTCGGGGACTACCTGTGGGGGGTACGACCCCGGATACCCACGGTAGACTACATGGGTTGTGCTCCCAGGGGCGGTCCAGCCCACAAGACGAAGGCTTACAATGCACGGTACTGCTCGACGTGTACCGCAAGGCATCAAGGGCGATATCCTGAAGATACTACGAGATATGTTAGGATACATTCGATCACATGATTCATGTAATCTGTTAATACTTACCAGTTATGTCCTAAATCTAACTGACGTGTAACCCTGCCCCCCAGACTATATAAGGCGGGCAGGGAACCCCTCAAAACACATGCAATATCATACGACAGCTAATATAAATCAACAGACCACAAGAGTAGGGTCTTACGTCGCGCTGATGGCCCGAACCTGTTTAACTCTTGTGTCTCTGTTGCCTTCTTGTTCTTGATTACGCGCACCTCTGCCGATCAATCTACCTTTGTGGGATACCCCTCGGAGGACTGCCGACGATATTCTTTCGACACTCTGAAATATACGTTTGCAACAAGTGGTTTTTCAGTGCAACATGGCGTGGACGGCGCACCGAACTAACACGGTGGAGGTGGCCGCGACAGCATATGGCGGCACTCGACACGTTGGAGGCGGCCATAACAGCAGATGGCAGCACCCGTTGAGGTGGAGGCGGCCGCGACAATCAGATGGAGGCTCCCCGCCGCGGTGGAGTCAGCCGGCAGACTACTTGGCGTGCTGCGGCTCAAGGACGGTGGTGAGGAAGGACAGGGCCGACACCGCCGAAGAGCTTGGCGACGAAGACGGTGGCGTGGCCCCACGAGGCGCCGTTAATCCACTAAAGTAGCACGGGGTGAATCTGCGCGGGCGAGGGCGCGCGGCATGTGTGGAGCGAGGCGTGCAGCGCCGCGGGCAGGAGTGAGCGGCGCTTGTGGGAGCGAGGCGAGCGGAGCTGCTGTCTGCATGGGTGGTTAGATGCATCCGATGAGAACGGGACAGTTAGATGCATCCAATGAGAACGGAATGGTTAGATGCATCCGATGAAAACGGGACCAACGCCCTAAACGGAGCATTACCTAAGATGATAAGCAAATTGTCTCCCTACATGTAGCAGCGCCTCATGTCGGTGCTACCACACACAGCCGTGACCACGCACCTGAGCACCGGCGTCCAGTGGCACAGCTGTGTGCGCCTCTACGCACGCAGAAGGCCCGAGCCTCGTCATGCTACCTTGAGCCGTAGAACACGACCTGCGACACATCCGCTGGCGGTAGTGCGAGGCCACCAATCCCCCCTCCATCCCGGTGACTCCCTCGTTACGGTGCGACGACGTTGTCGCACTAGCAGACTAGCTTCATTCCGAGTCCAGAGACCCGACCAACGTGGAGTCATGGAACAATAGGTTGCGATTGCTCGACGCTCGCACAACACCCCATCGTCTCGACGTTGTCATGTGTTGACTTCAGATTCCAAAAGAGGTGGATCGGAGGTCCCGATATTCAGCGGCTCAGGGAAGAAGCAAGCAAGCAAGCACTTAGTAGTGTAATTCATGTTAAGATTTTTTAGCACCAAGACCAGTCTCAATGTAAGTTTCAAAGAAGTTTCAATCTCATTTAATGTTACGACACATTAGCAAATTTGTTGAGTTGACAGATCAATTACGAAGAGAGATAGAGAGAGTTTCATCTAGATCAAATTCTTTGTCACAATTACCAACATAAAAATTGACGTGACAGTCTTGATAACTGTGTTATGAAACTCTTCATTAAAACTGGCCTAAGTGACACACTCCTATTCTCTAAAATTATCCTATGTTTCATGCACAGCATAAACTTTTAGCATTTAGATGTTCTCGGGAGTTTGTATCATTGGATTAGAGTGGTATTATTTGGTCCCGTTATAACGTCCAGGTATGAACATGAAAACGGCAAAAACGGCCTAACGACTAAAAAAAACAGACGTGACCTAAAAACACGGATTAAACAAAACCAACTATAAAAAAAAACTGGACGAAACAAAACGATGGAGAAAAACTGGACGAAACAAAAGGCGAGAAAAGAAAAACAGACAGCGCACGGATAACTGCATATACAGGCGGCGGCAACGAAAACCACAAAACCCTAGCAACAGGGAAAGCACCGTACAGGAGCAATGGACGAGGAGATGCATGGCATACCTCAACCCTAGGTCGGCGGCGTCGAGGATCCTTTGCCCTGGATGGAGCCCGTGCTATGGCGCGAAGGAGAGGGCGCGGGAATTTATCGCGGGAAGGGGAGAAAGGCGCTGGAAGGAGGAGACGGCGCGGGGAATTTTTACGCATGATGGAGGCCGGTTTGCCAATTGCCAAAAGATAGGGAAATGATATGGGATACTCTTGGAGATGAGTTTCTCTTTTTTTCAAAAAAACATAGATGAGGAAGGGATATGGGGCACTCTTGGAGATGCTCTAACCGCGCATTTGGTTGCTACCATTTTGTGACCTGCCAACTCGTTGACCAGCTGGCCAAACTTAGAGCAACTACATTGCTACATGTCAGCGATCTCATACCTTGTCTCGTGCAGAGCCACGTAGGATTTTTACTGATGGGAGGAGAGAGAGAGAGAGAGAGAGAAAGGTCGTTGTTTCACGAAACAATCATCTCATGAGCTAAAATTTAGGACTACGAGACAACTATTATACCATTGTATGATATTGTTGTTGTTATGCAACTCACAACTTTATTTTTATTTTATACATAAATTAAGAAATAATAAATTACTACGAGATAACTTAAAATATAATCATTATACATGTTATCTGTTACTGTCTTATATAAAATTAAATAGCACTACATGAGACGGTCTACAGAAAAACACTAATGTACTTGCCCTTACCGATTCGACCGTACAGTGGTCAGAAAAAGAAAAACGGACAACGGACCGATGGAAAAAAACGAACCTAACGTAAAAAGAAGTCCGGGTCGTAAAAAACGGGACGATGGGCACAATGTGAGGAAAATGGACGGAAAAAATGAAAACAGAAACAGAAAAAAGAAAAAAAAAGAAAAGCAAAGAAAAGAGAAAAGAAAAGAAGCAAAAAAAAAACAGAAAAAAGATGAAGAAACTCCCTAGGTTTAGGAAATGTTTGATACATGTGGCTAGTTACCCATAGTTGGGCTAAAAATTAGCCCAAATTAGTTATGGTTCGCTAGTTAGTTGTCTAAAACCTAGTTGAAGATTTAGCTAAAAAATTAGTCCACTTATTAATCTTCTTGTTTGATGCATATTTGAGCTAAAATTTGCTAGCTATAATTAGTCCATGGATCAAATATGCCCTTAATAGTAAGGAATAAATAGATAGGATCTTTATGTCCATATATAAACTGGAGAAACACTCGGTTCAAAGTGACATTTAAATCCAACTAGCTAATAGTTGGCTGCTAAAAATAAGCTGGGTGAATTCAAACAGATCTAGCCAATTATTAGTCAGACACTTAGCTAACAACTATCTCACTAGCTATCTAGCATACCTAATAGTATCTTCTAAATTGAAAATAGACACTTCTGTACTCCTACCAGCCTTTATTCATGTGTGTCCTACCAATAGAAATAGAAAAGGAAGGGGCATTATAGATAAAAGTACTATGCATCCATTTTTAGCTAGTGGATCCAAAAAATAATTAGCCAGCTAAGAGCAACTCCAACAACATATTTGTATCTTTCCTAATTAATTGAAATAAAGATTTTGATAAAAAAATACTCTCTTATAGTTTTTTTTAATGAGATCTTCAAATATGGTCATCCTCTATTTTGAATTTTTTGCTAGCCAAAGATACAGAACAGAGTTGGTTCTTTAGTGTACGCACATGATATAGAGAAGCTCTTGGAGGGTGAAAAGATATAGATAATAAGTTTTATTCAAATGACTGTCCAACTGATGATTTAGAGTGAGTTTAAGAGATGCTCTAATAGTTACTCTCTCCGTTCCAAATTATAAGTCGCTTTGCCTTTTTTGGTAGCAAATTCGATATACCAAAAAAGGCAAAGTGATTTATAATTTGGAACCGATGGAGTAGCTAACTAGCATTCAAGATTAATTATGATCCATAGAGCTAATACTTATCTGCTAATAATTAGCTGTTTTGGATCAAACAGGACATCTAATAGTCTAACTAATTGTTTGCTAAATACCTAACTAATTGGGCCAAACTAACTAATAGCTAGCTAGATAACCCTTCATTCCAAACTAATAGTAGTTCTAGCTTTTCTATGTATATTACGTTTGTTATGCAACTAGACATATAGATACGTTTAGATACAGAATAAAAGTTATGTATTTAGAAAAGCCAGAATAATTTATAATTTAGAATTGAGAGAGTATTAACTATGAGATATTAGCAAAAAATAATTGATACAAAATATTCTTATTTTTAAGCCGTTATTAGCTAGCTAACTGTAGTTGGCTAGTTGACCCAAACAGGATGCCTAGTATACCCTGGTAGAGAGTATCATCACTCCTCACTAATCCCAACTTCCAAGTAAATGAAAATGACCCATTCCACCTGCCAAAGCATCCCATTCATCGCTTGATTATATATAGACACACACGCCTAGTCACAAAAACGTGCACACAAAGAAAGAAGAACTGAAGGTGGAAGAAGAAGAAGAGAATAGGACCTCGCTCGAAGACTAGGGCGGCAGCAATGTCGACGTACCTGAAGAAGCCGTCCCCGTACACCACCGTCTCCCTCATCGTCCTCCTCCCTCTCACCCTGATCTTATGCTTCACCTTTCTCCTTCCGCTGTCCGCCTACTTCCGCAACCCGCTTGCCACGGCTATGGCTACAACTACCAGCGCCTGCGTCGGCACCACCGCCGGGGCCGTCCGCGCTGCGCCAGCAGCAGCAGCCGTGGACGACGTCGGCGACGGTGTCGGTAGCCAGCGCCCGGCCCCGGCGGAGCTGATGAGCGTCCTCGTCGGTGTGCACACCATGCCCGGCAAGCACTCCCGGCGCCACCTCATCCGCATGGCGTACGCGCTGCAGCAGCAGACGACGCCCGCGCTCCGCGCCGCGGCGCGCGTCGACGTCCGGTTCGTGCTCTGCTCGCGCCCGATGCCGCCCGAGCACCGCGCGTTCGTGGCGCTCGAGGCGCGCGCCTACGGCGACGTGCTGGTCCTCGACTGCGCCGAGAACGCGGAGGACGGGAAGACGTACACGTACTTCGCCAGCCTGCCCGCCATGCTCGGCTCCGGCTCCGGCTCCGGCGGCGGCGGCGGCCGGCCGTACGACTACGTGATGAAGGTGGACGACGACACGTTTCTGCGGCTGGACGCGCTGGTGGAGACCCTGCGCTCGGCGCCGAGGGAGGACATGTACTGCGGCGTGGGGCTCCCGTTCCACGACCGGGAGTTCCCGCCGTTCATGCTCGGCATGGGCTACCTGCTGTCCTGGGACCTCGTCGAATGGATCGCCACCTCCGACATGGTCAGGAGGGAGGCCAAAGGTACGCTACGCACTTGCATTTCATGCATCCGTTCTTGCACAAATTTCTTTATTGACTACTAACATATACTACTCTACTACTACGTACACTCCTCATGAAAATGTTTTCAGAACATCATTAATTAGTACAATAGTTTTTAACAATGTTTAGCAACATGTATATATGCATATTCAGGTGTAGAAGATCTGACCACAGGCAAATGGCTGAACATGGGCCACAAGGCCAAGAATCGGGTGAACATTTTCCCCAGGATGTATGACTACAAGAGTGCCAAAGCTGAGGACTTCTTGGAGAACACCATTGGGGTGCATCAGCTGAAGCAGGACATAAGGTGGGCACATACACTGGAGCACTTCAATGTCACCCGGTTGGAGCCCTCCAGCAAGCTACACAACTTCTAGAGAGCGGGGATCGGAATCCTCAGATTCTTTTGCAAACAATATGTAAATTTATAGTATTGTTGATTTGTGGGTGTGGCGAATTAACTATGAAGGGTTGTTGATACGTTGCTTGAAACACACACACACACACACACATATATATATATATATATACTACCCTGTAGCTGGCTATAAAATAACTTATTCTGTAGCCACTTTGAGTTACGATAATTACTATGTTAATTTACGAGATTATAGTAATTCCTTACTAAGTAGTTTACTATAATGTTATGGTAAATATCCCCATGTGTTATAGTAACCGAACTAACGTAAATATGTATTGACATTATCGTAAATTAGTATATAAAATTATCGTAAATGAAGGTGGCTATAGAATAACTTATTTTGTAGCTGGCTACTGAATATATATATATAATTGATAGCTTCCACTGCGAAGTTATATACATCTTGTTGACAATATCTTTTCATAATGGCACATTAATATAAGAAAAGGGCATTGTCAACTGGATAGGGAGTCCAAGAGTTTTGAATTCAGAAACTCAGATAAATCAGTTTTGTGACGAATACTAGGCTGATGTTTCTATCACAATTATTTGATGGCAATTCAGCATTCTAAGCTGTTTCTTTTTTTTTGACTACTCACTGCTCAGCATTCTAAGCTACAACATAGCAACATACACAAAATCCCATGATTAAAATGTTGACTACTTGACATTTACTAAATGATGACAAGTGTGACGACAGAATATCATAGCATTAGTTTTGTTAGTGACATGGCACTCTTCTGTGCTTACAGCTAAAACTCGCTGTGAAGTATTTTATATCAACTGTGAGCTTGTTCATAACCTAGGGGCTTCCTTACTCCTCTTGTTCTCTTGAAAAAAAAATGCCTTCTTCATACTAAATTGTGGTTTGATTCCGTGCCTCTTGCACGGTTGCACCAGTTGGAGATGATCGAGTTTCCGTATTACAATGACATCTTAACCAACCGCCCTCTTGAGGTCCTGACTGATGATTCAGCTCTGTTGCTCGTGAAGATCTCAATGCACTCTTGCAGAAACCCGATTTCTTGATCTGTCACTATTGTGTAAGCTCCTCACCATGGTTTCAGCTGGCTCTAGGATGCACAGCCAAGAAAGGGACATCACTTTCATGACATTTTGTAATAGCTATAGCTCTTGAGATGTCATATCATTGAACGATTCATATTACATTTTGTGGATCAGCAGTTCTGGTTTCTCAGTCCGTTAGTACTCCACTTGCCAAGTCGACTGCTGCTCAGCAGCTTCTGGCAACAAGATGAAACTGTTTTTTTGCATTATCGGCAGGCAAATGTTGTAGCCGGAGTCTGTTGTTTTCATCTGAGTTCTTTTGCATTTATGTGCTTGGAATGTAGCAGAACCGGACGCGAATTTACGCAGTGTCCAGTGTAGCTAGGGTTGAAAGCGGTCGAACTCGGTCGGGATAACCCCAATACTGTTTTCACTTTTACATTTCAATACGAAAACGAAATCGAATTCGGGAAGGTCGGAAACGAACACGAAAACGAACTAACAGGATATCGAAAACGAACTAATTCGATCGGGAACATGTCGAACACGGTCGGAATACGAAAAGCAAAACGGAAACACCGGCCCGTAGAACCTAGTTGAGCATGACAACATGCCAACAGTCCGTACCGACACAGCCACACATGGTCATGCACAATTCACTTGTACACATACATTGATACACAAATCACCAATTCACCATGACAATTGATAAATAGGCAACAGGTCTAAATATTTAGAGACATTTGGGCTAGCCAACAGGTTATATTTCAGCAGCACTTCCCATGTCTTCTAGTTCCTCAGTTTCCTCTTCATTCCCCTCATTGATTTCTTCCTGCTGCAAGTTGGCAAGTTGCCATTGTGAAGAAAAGCAGTATAACAGTCAGTAAGGATCAATGAAAGGACTAACAACCAGTAAAGATATGCATAATCTAAAATGACCAAATGAAAATATACCTCAAGCTTAAGCTTATTAGCCATTGCAGTAGACAATGCCTCCACTTCAAGATCACTCACAATTGATCCAACATATTTAGAATCTGAATACAAAAAGAAAGATATGAAATCAGTCCATTTTTCAAGTGCAAATATAAGTTTGTAACTAAAAAGTATGTACAGAAGTACAGATCATCACCTTTTCTTGCTGCAGCTACCCAATCTTTGGTGCAAATCAATGCCTCTACAATCTCAGGGTCAAGGCGATTACGGTAGGGATCAACAACACGACCAGCAGCACTAAAAGCAGACTCGGATGCAACAGTTAATACTTTAATGGCCATCACATCACGAACAATCTGTGTAATGATAGGATAGTCTTCCCTCTTGTTCTTCCACCAAGCTAAGATGTCAAACTCACCAACAATTTTCTGAAGAGGTTCAGCCATGTACTTCTCCAACTCATTTGACTCAACCATACCAGGTTCACTTGCAGAATATAAGTTTTCAAGGTCTTCATCTACATCGCCCATTATTATATCTGTTGCATTACTAGGTCCAGTTCTGCTACTTTTCTTCTTTGATGTTGCATTAGCCGAACTAGCATAAAACTGATACAACTTCTTTATCACACTAACAAACTCATCAAGTTTAACTTGATACTCATCACCATAGAACTTCCTCATGTAGTATTCAATAAGCTTTTTCTTATATCTAGGATCAAGAAAACAAGCTACAGCAAGAGCAATGTTGGACTGCTGCCAATATTTCTCAAACTTTTCATTCATTGCAATTGCCATTGCACTAATTGTGGCATCATCACTAAAGCACCATTCATCAAGCATGAGTTTTATATCACAGAAACCTTTGTAAAACAAATTTGCAGTAGGATATGAAGTACCGGACAGAATTTCAGTGAGGTCATAAAATTTTTTCAAGCATTGATAAAGTGTAAATGCCTTGTCCCATTCAGCAGGTGAGGGAGACATTTTGTCATACCTACGACGATTTGCAGACTTCAACCTCACAAAAGCATGCTTGTAGTACAAAGCATCTCTCAGCATGAGATAGGTAGAATTCCACCTAGTCGACACATCCATTGAGATACCCCTCTTTGTGTCCAATCCAGATTCAGTGGCACACTTCAAAAGCATTTCCCATTGTAATGGAGATCCTTTCACAGCTAACACAAGTGATTTGATTTTGGTAATTGTTGCTGAAATTGCTTTCAACCCATCTCTAGCAACCAAATTGAGGATATGATAGGCACATCTAACATGAAAAAAGATCCCATCACAAACTAGAGAGCCATTATCATTATCTTTCATATCTGAAATTATATCATGAACAACCACTTCATTGGAACTAGCATTATCTAAAGTCAAGGCAAACAATCTCTTCTCAATGTACCAATTAACCATAACTTCAGTAAATGTTTCTGACAGCTTTGCACCGGTATGCCTTCCTTTCACATTGAAAAAACCAATAATTCTCTTCTGCATACGCCACTCATCATCTACCCAGTGAATTGTGACACACATGTATCCTTTGTTTTGGCATGAGGTCCACATATCCATGGTTGCACTAAAGCGGCACTGCATAGTTTTCAAGTACGCATACAAAACTTCCTTCTCTTCCAAATATTTATCCATTATTTCTTTCCTAACAGTGATACGTGACTTAATCGGAAAATTAGGACGGAGAGACTTTATGAAATCAACAAGATACTCATACTCAACTATGTTGAAAGGATATTCATGCATGGTTATTGCCAAATTTAATTTCTGCAAACTAACTTCTTGGTCATATTTGTAGGGCTGAACATGAGTAATTTCAGTACCAGGGTCCTTACCAACTTTGAGTTGTTGCTGTCCTTTTACAATACTGTGTTGCGACTTCAAATGGTTCTTAAACCCAGTTGTCCCATGGTTTCCTTCAGCTCTGTACCTTTGCTTGCACTTTGGGAAGTTACAGTATCCCCACAACTGCTCATACTTCTGTCCATTCACCTCTACAACCTCAACTTTCTTTGTAAAGCACTTCCAGACTGCTGATGTGCACCCTGTATCTGGACATCTGGATTTGTAATTGGAGTTGCAGCTTCATCACCCTGTATCTGGACATCTGGATTTGTAATTGGAGTTGCGCTGCTGCCACTGGTGCCCACATTTGTAATGCTAGTTTCACTTGGTGTTGAAGAACCCCTTGTAGATGGTGGTGCTGGAGTTCGACTAGAACTAGGACTAGCACTAGGTTTTTGAGATGCAAGCCTTTTACTTGTAGATCCTGATAAGAAAAAAGGAAAACATTGCTAAATCATCAACCTGCCATATTGCGGTTAACAACTACCAGAATTCTGGTTAAATATTTTTCATTGAAAACTCTGAAACTTAGAAAGTAAAAAAAAAATAACACATATATGAACCACAAGGGCATTGGTAAACATAAGATTCTTGAAATAAAAAATGGAACAGCTATGCATTAGCAGGAATCTGATCTATTAAGAACCATGTATTCCATCAGCCCACGAAGAATGCTATAAATGTTTAGTGGTACTTGCTATCAACAGTATTTTTCCTGGGGATGTTCTTTGGGTCAGAGACTCTGAAATCTTTGAGAACCGTGACATAGCAGGTGCAGTAGCAAATATGATGTGCCAGATCATTTCTGAAAGACCAACGATGTTTTTGATGGTTCTAAGTGTTTTTCGTTTATGTGTTTCAGATGAGATTTCAGAGCAGAATGGTGATATATTGCAGGTTGAGGAAGGCTTTAGAGGGACTCTTTTGACATCAAGTGTTTCAGCACAGCTTTGTCAGGGTATAACATTTAGTAAATGAGTTTCTTCCGTCAGATATATGGTTGCATACTTGTTGAGGTAAGCTAGTTAAGGTCTCTAGAAGGTGATACCGACTGCCTTGGTTCTTTTTTTGGTTACATATCATAGTTTTCTCAATAGAAATAGAAATTACTAGATTCATGTTGAGGTAAGCTAGTTAAGGTCTCTAGAATTTACTAGCTACGAATTCCTCAGTACCTGGACAAGGAAGAAGTGGTGGCGTGCCTGACGGCGGCTCCATAAGCTTGCGCACACTCTTGGTCTTGGTCCTGCAGCCTCTCGATCCAGAAGGAGTTTCTCCAGTGGGCGCCATTGTCTTCGACGTTGCCGTCAACTTCTCTAGAGTCTACAGGCGGGGTCGCCGCCTCGCGTTGCGGGGAGCCGGCCAGCTGGGGGCGGGGGCGGGGTCGCGTCGAGGGGGGGAGGCGGCCGGCCAGGCCAGGCGGAGGCAGGCAGGGGCGGGGGCGGGGGCGCGTCTCGCGTCGAGCCGTCGAGGGGGAGGGGGCAGCCATTGGGTAAGAAGTAAACCCTATCTTTGTTGGGCTGGGCCGCTGGCTGCTCCAGTCGCTGGCTGCTCGAGTTGGGCTGGGTAAGAAGTAAATTCGGAATGTCCGCTTTGCGTATACGGGATATCCCGAAATAAAAACAGGATATGCGAAAACGATCGGGATAGGGCCCAAACCGATCTTGTCCCGATTTCGAATTTCGTGTTCCGTTTTCCGTACCGATTCCGTTTTTGTCCGAAAATACGAATACGATCGGGTTAAATGTAGAAATCGGAGCGGAACGGAACGGGATATATCCCGACCGTTTTCAACCATAAGTGTAGCCATGTCGCTGTCGGCCGGAAATGGTAGAATGGTTGTGCTCGAAGTACTTGGTGAATGTTGAAAACTCTCTAAACATGTAAATCGTAATTATGTACAGAGTGGTGACATGTTCTGAAAATATAATGTGTGCATTCCTAATTGGTACATGATCGCCATTATTGTTTTTTGCACCGTGCATTTTTGACAAACGTACTACACATGTGCCATGAAAATATTTTCAGAACATTCTAGTTTTTTTGTTTTTGTTTTAACATTTTTTTCGAAAGGACGGCAAAAGAATTACCGTGATTTTTATTAGACGAGAAAAAGAGAAAACAAAAAGATTACAAGAAACACCCACTGCTACACAAATGATTTTGCAAGACGGTGCTCTTTTATTAACGGAGGCTGTCACAAAATCCATCCGCCTCATTTAATGCTTGCGATTTATAGAGACGGACATTTTTCATTTACCGAGGTGGTTACGTTTGCCCGCCTCGTAAAATCGATTTACGGAGACGGGCGTCTTAAGAAAACGCCCTCGACTAGTACTACCAACGAACAAAACCAACAGAGTAAAACAACCTCAACCCCAACCAGAAAAACAAAAGAAAAAGGAAACCGCCACCATACTAAGAAAAATTAAGGAGATCTGGCTTGGTCGAGTTGCAAAGTTGAATTGTTGGATGTCATCTTTGATCAATACCGCTACTTAGGATGGTTGCAAATCCTTATGTAGGAAAGTTCTTCGGTTTCTTTCCTTCTAGATGTTCCAACAGACATAAATTAGAATCCCGGCGAAGGAAGTCTTATGAGTTTTGTCAAATTTGGCTTGACATTTCCTCCAATATTTGTAGACGGAACCGTCCAGTGAAATGTTACGAATTTGGCCCAAACTGAACCGGCTCTGGATTATACACCATACATTTTGTTTTAACAATGTTTAGCCACATGTGCATAGACATATAGTAGTCAACTGTGGAGGTTCTAACCACAAAGGAATGGCTGAACGTGGGCAACAAAAAGCCAAGAACCGGTTGGACATTTTCCTCGATTGATAATAAAGTTTGCTGTTTTTAAGTAAAACATAAACTATTCAACATATTTTCTTTGACTATCATTATGTCAAATCCCTTTTCGTGTGCTATGCACCTTGTGTTCGGCTGGACCGAGGCGGTTACGACAAGTGCAAACGTGCCCTTAAAAAATGTAAAAATGGTGGTTCTTTTTTAGGACAAGTTTATGCACCTACAAGGTAAGAGCATTTCCTCCAATTTAGGGGGTGTTTAGATCTAGCTACTAAAATTTAAGAGGTGTGTCGGAAGGATGTTGCATGGGGTGTTCGGAAACTAATAAAAAAAATAAATTACATAATCCATCAGTACTTCACCAGATGAATTTTTTAAGCCTAATTAATCCGTCATTAGCACATATTTACTGTAGCAAAACATTGTCATATCATGGACTAATTAGGCTCAAAAGATTCGTCTCGCAAACTATGTAATTAGTTTCGTAATTAATCTATATTTAATACTCCATGCATGTGTCCAAACATTCGATGGGACAGCGACTAAAATTTAGCAGGGACAACCAAACACCCTCTTACTTTAGGTTTGCCACTAGTGTTAGGTATCCCACTCTATAAAGAGTTGAGTTCATTTTTTAGTACTTGTGTGAAATTGGATTTGCACAGACGGCTTACATAAGGTTACCTTCATGTGAATAAGTTTGTTCTGGTATATCTTTTATGCCAGTAGAAATCTAGCATTTTTACTAGCCTTTCACACCAGTGTAAAAACACACCGCTGGTACAAATCATTTTCTACCGTCATTACAAACACTTTTTGTACTAGTGCGTGAACGTGGACAAGGCTTTAACGACGCACACACATTCTCTTTCTCTATCATCACCTTCTTTCTTCCTCCGTACCATGCTGCCCCTCTGCCGCCTCCACCGCCGCCAAGGCCGTTAATGACCTCACTACTCACCTCTCACCATCACCACCGCAGCTCCAACCTCTCCTAACGTTGTGCTTGTCACCTCACCATCACCACCGCAACCCCGCCCTCTCCTAACGTTGTGCTTGTCACCTTCACCGCCGACCCCGCTCACGGATTGTCCTCCACCATGTGGCCTTGCCTTGCCGCCTCGAACCCCCACCGCTGCCGCGCCATCCCTCTAGGGCCTAAGGATAAAACCTAACAAATATGCTTCCAACTTTTTTAGTCACTTAGAAAACTCGTTGATTTACTAATTTTTTTTAAAAAACTATTGGAGATGATCTAAAGCAAATATCCGATCCGCCGCACACAAATTGGCTCTTCATTTCCTGGGTTTTTATACATTGAAAAAATAGATAAATGAGCAGCTCGATCTGAGCTGTGAAATCATGCACGACCAATTATTCCTTTTCTTGTGAGGAGCAACATGATCAATTGCTTCTTGTTTTGCGAGGCAACCATGACCATGTTCATTTTATTGCAAGGCAATACGATCAGTTGTTTGTCAATGTTTGAATGAGAGTTTGCTGAATCAGTTCAAACTACAAAGTAACTGCCGTGCCACTGCCAGAAAAAACCCATTTCAAAGAAATGAACAACATTCATTCAGCTACTGCAGGAGTTGCTAGTGGAGCATGTATTGAAGATCAGTTATGACTTAGAAGCAATGCTGGCTGACAATATATTACATTTTCCATTGATCCCCATTTGAAAGGAGAAAAATGCATACAAAGGTACTTCCTCCATTCTAAACACAGTGTATATCTAGTTGCATAGCAAAAGTCATATACTTAGAAAAGGTAAAAGGACCTATAATTTGAGACTGAGGGAGTACAATCTTGAACGTTAGATAATAAATTTGTTTTACTCCTAGGATGTAGGATCAATCCATATATGTAGTCTAATTCCCTCGAGGAACTCAAGCTGTTACAGTCCACTAGACTCTTTGTTAACGATCAATACAAAAAAAAATCCAGGTATCAGGCCTCGATACATTTCTCTATTCACAGTACACACAATGAACGCAGAGCAACTTACCTTTTGAAATTACAAGGCGCATTACATTTAAACTTTGAGGACGTCAAGGTACAAAACTCCCAAGTCAATCCGAGGAAATCGTCTCATGGCTGTTCAGAACCTTATTCCATGTGAATGCTTTCTCAGTCACCAACAATTTGATGATTTGTAAACATTGTGTTCCAGATACTGGGCCAAGATCACCACTTCAGTCTTGCTATCCAACTGGAGAATCCATATATTTGGTATGCTCCTCTTGCTGCTATTTTCACATGACAATTCGAGCTAAATGACCACAGAGAGGTTCGCTAGGTTGCTGTCTCCAGCATGCGCTGCATATTAGTTGACGATAATCAACTCAACAACAGAGTGACAACAGATTGAACTGAGCCATTCTGCCATTGGCACATGCAGTACAGGAATAAAATGCTAAATTGGCCTTCATGTTGGGGCCAGAGTTTTTCTAGTTCTTGAATCATTGGGCTTGCGTTCAGCACTTGACTGTCCCTGTGGCACTTTAGAATTTCTGGTTTTGCTCCGCCTAGTTTCAGCTGTGCGAGAAGTGGACGAATGTTGGCTTGTCCTAGATCCTGTGCACTTTGCAGTTTCCGGCTTCAGCTTAGCCCTCACTGACCGAGAAGGAACTTGCGTTTTCTGCATTGAGCTGGCACCCTGTTTATCCTTTTGAACAGATCCTTGCTGGATTTGACTCTGGTCATTACTAACATGAAATTCCCCACAAACAACTGATGCTGAGATACCCTGAACAAGAAATATTTAAACACATAAAAAATCAGAAGAAAATGGGAAAATTCAAATAAAGAGTAATGAACAGAGAAGAAAATTTCTGACAAATTAAGTATAACCAGGAAAGCAAAACCAATCATGTATGTTTATATTCCTGGCATGTTAAAGCAGAACACAGCAATAACAAAAAATAGAACACCTTTTCCAATGCCATGGCATTGTTTAAGAACAAATCATAATACAATGCCATACTAAGATCATGAACATTATAATACTAATAGGCGTATCTACAAACATCACCTTGTTTTGAATTGGAGAGGCTTCTGGACTCTGAACTTGCTCCTCTTCAGAATCATCCATTTCTTCACATTCAAACTCAACATGCTGGCTATCTTCCTCGGAATCACTTAACTCTTCTTGCTCCATTACAATTCCTTGCATTGATTCTTCATTAGGTTCTTGAATGCAATAATGAGAATAAGAATTTACAACCTCGAGCTCTGGAACATTAGATTTGTCCTTCCTAGAAACTTCATCTTGAACATTTGATCTGCTAAAACTACTTCTGAAGTCATTTGAACCATTTATGACCGTTGGAGAACACAAATGAATGTTCAAGTCAATACTTGTCTCCCTCTCAGAAGGGCTTGTGGATGCTTGCCCAGCTGTTGATTGGTCATCTACTGGGACTTCGCTCATGTTATTATCAGACTGATGGCAGTCAAGGTTATTATCATATTCTGGTACTTCATTATGAACATCAACTTCTGTTCTTTGCAAGAGAGGATGGAAGTCGATAGTGTTAGCATTTACAGTACCATTTTCGGTGGAACCTGTAGTCTGGTTGTTACTTCTCTCAACTCGAACTTTCTCAAAGGGGAAAAGATCATATTTTCTTGACTGATTAATAAGATTTTGAACTGGGTGACTATATGATGAAACATCTCGAGGATACTGAAACAGTAAAGGATGCATCTGCAAATCTTGCTCAGCACCATCTTCTGTAGCATTATCCCTAGAGATCCCATTCTGCTGCAATCTAGAATTAGCTCTGTGATCAGGGAACAGATTTAGCTGTCTATCAGCACTTTCTGTAAAGGAGGTCAAAGGTGGCACAGGATACATATCCTTTGCTGCATTATCCGAGGTGCCATGAAAGTGTGTTGCGTTCCGATAAAATTCCGCCTGAGATAGGACACGAACAGAAGGGGGAAGGTTCACAGGAGGCAAGTCTGGAGCCAACTTGACCACACAACTGCCTTTCTGTTTACTCAATTGGGAAGCTGGCAGTTGATCCAGAGATCCACATGATACCGCCGGAGCTGCAGTGGAAGATGTTCTCACATATGATGGGCCATCAGAGAGGTGGTATATAAAAGGTATATATGAGGTGGTTACATCAAGTTTCGTACCACTTAGTTTCTGGGGTTCAATGTAACCACCTGTAGTACCACATTCTTCATCGAGGCATGTGCCTGACTGCTGATAAGGCATACTATCTGTGTCTTCCAAAAATGCTTCATTGACATATGAATCATCATCATTTTCAGCATCTTCAGAAGCATTGTTATCAGCCTGTGATGAAAGCATTAAAAAATATGCTCAACGACATCACTTTAGATGGAGACTAAGATATTATTTGAATATCCTACAAGTTAAAGAAACATACTAACCTCTTGCCCACGGCGTGAATCGGGCATGGATACTCTCAGCTTTCTCCTCTTTGCTTCATATGTTCGCCTTCTTTCTTTTTGAGCATCACTTTTACTGTAAGATTTCTGGACTCCACTTGCAACTCTCCATTGACGTTGGAGCAGTGAAGGATCTCTATGTGGCACTACAAACTTCCAAACTGATGTCCAGTCATTTTTGAATATCCTCAGCCCCTGAAATCGCAGTAGGTATGGAAGAAATTATGCGACAAAAATCAAACATGAAAAAAATAAGATAGTCACAAGTTATCACCTTCTCGATACATTCTTTCTCCTCGACTGTCAATGGAGATGCCTTCATACGGCGCACATCCTGCATTAATTCAGATAACAATATAGTTAGTTGGAAGGTTATTATGTTGGGTTTTGCTGAAAGCAGTCAATGAGCTCAAAATCTCCCATCCTGATGGTTGACCATGGTAATACAGAACATGGCAAAATCAACCCAACCCATACCAGTATCAGAACAAGGGAACACACAGACAAACTCTTCCACAACATATATATACATGCTCTTTGAAAAAATATAGTAGCCAGAGGTTGAATAATATAGCTCCACACACAAGCAGAGCAACACGTGCCGCTAAGAGAGTAGTAAAAAAACATCTCCAGCTTGCTACTGAGTACATTATTAAATATGTGATTTGTCCACAAATCTTGCCAATAAATTTAAATAAAATACTACTATTTTGTTGGCATGTAAGCAAAATGGTATAGATATCAGAATGAGATAGATAAAAATTATCAACAGTGTAAGTGCTGTGGCAGAAACTTCACTACGTACACAATACAGGATTTTATAAAGCACTCTCTTCAATGTTTAAATATCAGTTCAAAACCAAAACTTCAATACTACAGAATATGGAATGAGAACAACATACTGCTATTTATTAGCATGAACTGTTAATCTGTCACACTACTAAGCAACTCAATGGACAACTTGACCATAATGTTGAATATTGAACCCTAAAAGGCACATAAAAGTGAATTCGGCATCTTATCTTCCAGTAAATGAAGAAGGGCAAAATATTTACCTTAACTGGATTATCAGGAGCTTTGGAGGAGCTACGATTCTTTTGTCTCACAAATATCTGCACCAAAGAAATTATTTCACTCAGCAGGCATAATACACAAGCCCAGAACAAGGAATTATTAAAGATCATGATCAACTAACAATTTAAAACAACAACTAAGCAATAGGCATTATAGAAATTGAACAAACAGTCTCAGGTTGTGATTGTATGCAGAGATTAGATGAAGGATTTTCCCCCTTCGAATAAGCAGGAGAGCTGCGTGTTAATTCATTAAGAAAATTAAATGAAGGATTTCATCTAAGCTTACTTGCTTGTGCGGTCAAAAGGAAAGCAAAGTAAATTGGCAACGAGACCTTTGTGATAATAGATGTTCAGACTTCAAAATCTTTATTGAAAAAACACCCTGCTTTGGCAGTACTGAGAGCAGACATCAACTTTAGGCCAAGAGTTAATGCCAGCAAGGTCAAAAATGTTATTGCCATGTCAGTACAGTCAAAACAACTCCTTTTTCTATACTGAATCCTTGAAGGCGTTTCATGTCCTTCATTACTCTCAATTTTCTTTTGTTAGATTAAAATAAAAAGAAACTATTTCATGACATGTCAATCTTCACCAAATAGATGATAAAAAGAGCTGTTGATTTGTGCCTGACAAATCATAAAAGGAAACTTTTGGATCTTGAAGAAAAATTTGCAATAAAAAGGAGTAACCAAAAAAATACCTGATGCTTTGATTTACAAGGAAGAAAGCGCTTTTGTATTGCTTCCCAGTCATTATTATATTCCAGAATTCCTAGAGCTAACAATCTGCAGGCAGATATATACTAAAAAATTAACCGAGAAAAGAAAGTGACAGGCATCATATCAGCTATACAATTGAGGAGGGCACTCTACATGATGTCCTTTAGGAAAGTGGTAATAACAACAAAGCAACCATGATACAATTAACCATACAAAAGGAGGAAAGTTGAAAACAAAAAGATGAATGGAATAGCTGTGATACAGCAGATGAGGAAGTAAACACATAAGTTGCATAAACCAACATCACTAATACAGAAATAAAAACAGTATGCAGTTCAACAAAACCAAATTATTCAGCTTTCTTGATTTTCTATGTTTTGAAGTCAAGATGGCAAGGAAGCATGCACGAATTCTATTTCAAAATAAATCTTGGAGAAGATGTAAAACACACCTGTCCTCTGCATCAGTGAAAAACACTCTATTGGCCATAGGTGAAGGAGGTGGCTTATGAGGACAGAGTGCAAAATTGAAAAGTGAAAAGAATCTCTGTGCTAATCTTGCAATGTCAGCAGGAACAAGAGCAACTGTGCCCCTTTTAGTACGCTCAAGCAGGGTAGCAGCCAACGATTTCTTCTGCTGCAACTGCCCAGATGAAGGAGATGATGCTGTAGGCACACTATTTGATCTATCTTGAGAAACATTATTCACTTCTTTGCAACTGTTAATCAATGGTGAAGGAAACAGGGGCTCTTTCCTGCGGGTTTTGTCAGCAGTGCCATCCACATGACTTCTTCTATACTTCACGACAGCTGTAAATTCAATATGCAAGCAAAGTTACCAATCGAGTGGTGACAAACAAAAGAAGCAAAGTATAAAAAATCGGCCCATGTACCAATCTTGAACTTACCAGTTGCGACATCACTTAAATAGCTGAGGGCCAACTCAAGCGGTGCGACATCAAGGATGGATATAACAGGACTCTTGATTAATGGCATCCATTGGCATTCCAATTTTTCAGAAGAAACAAAACTAGATGAGAGATGCCGGGATTCAAAAACGATATGCTGTTGAGGAGCACTCCTAGCCAATGCTTGATCACGAAAGCCAACCAACTCAACTATCATCTTTTTGACATTATTAGCCACATCTTGTTTAGACGAATCAAGAATACATAGGGAAAATGTTTGGATAAGGAGCTGAACATGCTCATATATCATCACATGCAGTTGCCCGAGTTGTTGATCAGTAAATCCACATGCTAAAGGTGCACACGGTACTGAAACCAAGGATGAAGGGGAAAGGGCATTATGGGTAGGATATTGCCATCCAAAAGCATGAGCAGGAGTCACCAATGCAGATGGAATATATGGCAGAATTGGTCTAAAATTAGTTTTATCGGATTCCTGATGATAGCTACGAGCCCCAGACAACTCGGTAAATGGCCGCCTCTGCCTAGTCTGAGGCCTACGTCCACCTTTCTCTTTCCTATGATTTGTGTCGTCATAGTTCTCAGCATTTTCATCACCATCACTTTCTAGGGCCTCCTCAATCTCGAGCTCAAAGTCTGCATCATTATCATCTTCATCCTGGTTTTCGTCCCCCTGGAATGCCTGTGTGTCATTGCCTATACCAGACAGGACAGAAGCAAGAAACTTGCGGTATTCCTCTTCTTCATCAACATTTTGCAGACCGCTATCGTCATCTGATTCCTGGAGAAAGGTCTCCAATTCCTCAAGTGAATAGTTTGCTAGTGAGTATCTTGCCCTCGTCCGTCTGCAAATTGCATCTTCCTCGCTAATTTCGAGAGATAGGTGATAAGGGTTTTGCACTGTTGGAGAGCAAGCAGCTTCGCTTGCTAAAACGTCTTTTTCCAATCCATTCTCAAGATTAACCTGGGTAGACTTTTCTTCTGGAAATATTTCGTTGACAAGACCTTGAGACGACAGTCTATTTTGAGGAAGTGCACTGTCACTTGTATTTTCATTAACTACACTATTCTGCAAATATGTCTGGCCACTTGGTCGATTGTCAGAACTATGTACCTCGCATTCTGCTTCTGATGTAAGGCTTGATGAGGTCCCAGACGGAGATCCTTCCCTAAGGAAAGGGCTAAAATCTATGTCATCCTCCTCCACATCATCATCAACTTCCATATTTGATGATGCAATAGTGTTTTAACCAAAACAGTAGGATTCCTACAACCTACCACCCATAAAGTGTAAAAACTTGTGTTAGGATCAATACAATGTGTTGCACTTTGCAAGAAAAAGAAAAGATGAGCATGCAGAGGCAAGTCAGTAAAACTATAGCATAACACAAGGATATGAACAAACACCCATGTACGATCAAAACTTGGGTTACACTTAACACCGACATAACCATGTTTTATTGGCACATAGAAATAACATAGTTGCAACATGTTTAAAGTGACTCTTTATAGCAGATGTCAGGCATAACACACTCATCCATATTTCGAAAATATGAAGTTTTGAAATAAGCCAACTTTAAGGCAAACATCTAAATCTAAAAAAACAAAATGATCGCATCATAGGTACAATACAATGCAATATTAAACCATAAAAAGAAATATCATGAATACCAATGATGACCTAAAGCTTCAATATCAGAGAATGTAATGTGCAAGATTGTGAAACATAAATTTAAATGTAAGATGGTCAGATTATGCAGAAAGGATATGACTGCACAACAATGTTTATTTCAACCTGTAGGTTTGGTGGGGGGTTTGTGTTGTTCTTTTGTAAGGGATCTCACCCTGTGTTTTGTTCTCTTCTTAATATAATGATACACAGCTCTCCTGTGTGTTCAAGAAAATTAAATTTAAACCATAATAATCCAGATAATGCCTTTAAAAAAAATAATAGGAAACTGTGGAGGATAAGCAAGCCAGTGCAGCCTTCTGTAGGTAATAGTTCTGTGCTGACATGAACTTAACCAAAATGAGGACCTAACAAAATGTCAAATCAAAATCCACAACTTGCCACATTGGTGCTCTTTCAAATGTCGCAATTCTTAACACAAAACAAAAGATGTAGCAAAATAGCATTAAACCATTGCAACAACCTATTTTCTCGAGATACTAACAAAACGGGGTCCGTGAGTCGGGCACACAGCAGAGGGTAGCAATATGCCAATATTGATCTGAGAATAGCAGGGGTGTAGACTCCCGACAGATGAGCAGATTGTGGCAAGGGGCTGACTTAGGGTGAAAGACCCGTTACTTTTCAGGAGAACAAACTGCACCGGCACCACAATTGGGCATTAAATAGCGTGCCATCTATCGATCCTGCGAGCTAAAGATGAGGAACACGAACCTAATCGAACCATGGATGGATGGATTGGCCTCCTAGAGTATCACTACACCACGAAATTCTGCAGCAAGCCCACTGGAGATAGAAGGGTTTCAGAGTTGGTTAGAAGCCGGAGACATCGGCCCCAAGCAAATAGGGTTACTTACCGAGGGAAGAAGAATACGATCCACGCCCAAGTGGGTGTCGACTTCACGCCCCCAGACCAGGGTCGTAGCGACCCCGCTCCCGCAGAGGCGGCGGACTGAGGAGCGGCGCCGCAGCAAGGCCGCGCTGGAGTCGAGCTCGGCCCCGCCGGAGAACTGGGTGCGTTGCTACGGATAACTAAACTTTTATAATAAAAATATATACGGATCACACGATAAGATATTAAAGTAATAAAATTAACACAGTTACATAGAACGTAGCGTCACATGTTCATAAATTCTATTGTATAGACCTTTCTACGATGTGGTTATGATAATATTTTATATTGGCAGAAAAAAATATCTCATATCTGTTTCTTTCGTACGCCAATAAATCTACGAACTTTATGTCATCCTATACACATGTTCAAGTATATATGTAAATATTAGTGCCTATCACATGGGTTACGTGTCTTGAAAAATCTCTCACAAAACCTTAAAACAAAGTATGTTATACTCATCGTATAAATATGTATTGCTTTAGATCTATTTCACAAAAACATATACGATAAAATAAGAAGTGAAAATTTATATAAAAAAATAAAACAAAAAATCAGATTTATTAAGATTGATATTATATATTGTGGGGGATATACCTCCGGGAACCATAAGATGATACATGGCCGCACCATCCGAGGTGGCTCGGCCTGTAAAATCGAGGCGTGCACGGCAAGATCATCAAGTTGTACTAGATATTATAATAGTATCAAATAGGATACTTTACTTATAACCCTCCTCCTCCAGAGTATACAAGAAGAGGCAGAGGTCCCATTCAGAGATCACCTCAATCAATACAGAATAATGAGACACATGACGTAGGTATTACGCCAACACGGCGGCCGAATCTGTATAAATCTTGTGTCTTGTGCCTTCAGAACCATCCGTTCCCCGATTACACGCATCGCTCATCGACAATCTACCATCATAGGCATACCCCTAGATGGATCGCCCGACCATATTTTGTCGACGGTGGCGCGCGCGCCGTAGGGGTCCCCTTTAGGGTCGTGCGTCTTGATCCTTCGACAAGCCGGGATGGAAAATTTCTCTTAACATCTCGCTAAAAATCGGGTGAGTCGTTCTTAGCAACGTTGTTGATTAGATCAATCTGTTCTTCAATATCTAATACTGATTAATTGTTTCTCGCATGTGCCAATCCGCTCTCTCATTCGCGATTTGATTCATCTTAAATGCCGCGGCGGCGGCGTTTTTCTTTCATGTCACATGCGATCGCACGAGGAGAGGCGGAATCGACGCCACACGCATATGTCCACGGTGGATCGGTAGTTCTTTGCGTCGACGATCGGCGAAGACGCGGCTTCGGATCTCGTGGCCACTTCATGGTGGACAGCCAGATCGGCGCACCCGTCTTCGGCCTCACGGTGTTCGTGCAAGCGACGGACTCCTATTCCTGTACGGTTCGATCATGCATGCATGAAGATTTCAATCCGAACAGAAGAAGATTCAACAAGCCAATAAGCAAGGATGACGTACATCTTACATGCAAGATGATTAGCAAGACAACGAGCTGGAACCGAGCAACTACGTGAGCCATACAAGCTATCTGGCGAGCCACGTCGAGAGCCATCAAGCCGCTGAGCGAGCCGCATCGAGCCGTCTAGCGAGCCACGTCGGGCCAAGCGGGCCAATTAAGCAAGCCATCCGAGCTCACGTCGACCACGAACCACGTCGACCACGTCCCGAGCGGCTCCGTCGATCTCACGTCGACCACGAACCACGTTGACCACGTCCCGAGTGGCTCCACCGAGTTCACGTCGACCACGTCCCAAGCGGCTCCGCCGAGCTCCGACCACGTCGACCATAGACCACGCCAACCACGTCCCGAGTGGCTCCACCTAACTCCGACCACATTGACCACTAGACCACATCGCAATGATGATCGCTGCGAAGAACGGCGCTACGACAACAGCGACCACCGTCATGACGACAGGTTGGAAATCTCGAGGATCGGACAACTTCATCACCGCCGACCAGATTTCTATCCAAAGATAAGTACACTTCTAATATTTATATTTAATATAATTTTTCATTGCGATGTTTCTCCACAGACGTCCTCGTCATGATTATTCTTCAAATAACGTTTGTCCATGTATACCATCTTAAAGATAACATACAGCTATACTTAACGCAAATCCCCGACTAGTCACGTTGACACTCGATGTCTCTAGAAACGGCCCTGTCTACCGACTCTCTCTACACGTGTACGAGCGTCCGCCCTCTGCGTTACGGGTCGTCGGCAGTGGCTCCTTAGCGACGCCTTTCTACATGCACACGGGCTCCGCGCTCCACGCTACAGTGAAGCTAGCTAGGGCTGGAGGCTCAGCTACATACTAACTGGTCGGACGATTTATATTAAGTATAAACACAAACTTCACATTAACACTGACGTTTACAAAGTACCAACTACTTTATCACATCATGCTCATTTACAAGTGATTGCTGAGCGTCATACACTATTTCTTCACCGCTGATTTATCTCCATAATTTATTATTTTATACATCATGTACTACCATTCTACATATTTATATTGCAGGAACTCCGACCATAGCTTGGGGACTTCATCGCTCGCTTCTCGACCTACGCCCGGAGACTGCTTCGATCACTCTCCGACCACAGCTTGGGGACTTCGTCGCTCGTTTCTCAACCTACGCCCGGAGACTGCCTCGATCACTCTTCGATCACAGCTCGGGGACTTCGTCGCTCGCTCCTCGACCTGTGCTCGGGGACTGCCTCGACCACTCTTCGACCATGGCTCGGGGACTTTGCGTCTCGACTACATGCGACTGGCAACTCGCATACAGTTGGGATATTTTTTTCTCACTTAGACCTTGCTACAAGGCTCATACCTCACCTTCCAGCAAGCTCGGGGACTACATCGGTACGATGCACCTGCCGGTGCAGCTCGTATCGCCTATACGACGATTGGATTCTCAACTTAACTGGGACCCTGGCACCATGTGCCTACGTCACCTACTACCAGGCTCGGGGACTAAGTGGGCACACTTCACCTTACGGTGAATGTGCTTGTTTTTCGACCCCTACGCCTCTGATGATCAAAGACGCTACGCTTCAAGACACCCTTACGTTTCTTCACAGAAACCCAAGTGGGCATACTTCCCAGGACAGAAATCTTTTTCTTTCTTCTTAAGAGCACCATACATTCTTCGGACAACCTACTTCTCCGGCGACAACGGTGGTCGGAGATGTCAAGAACTCAAGCCTCACTGTTCGGAGAAGGTTAAAATGGCGTGTCGTATCAGAATACATGGCGCTCGGGGACTAGCTGTGGGGGATATACCTCCGGGTACCACAAGATGGTACATGGGCCGCACCATCCGAGGTGGCCCAGCCTGTAAGATCGAGGCGTGCACAGCAAGATCACAAGTTGTACTAGATATTATAATAGTACCAAATAGAATACTTTACTTATAACCCTCCTCCTCCAGAGTATACAAGGAGAGGCAGGGGTCCCCTTCAGAGATCACCTCAATCAATACAGAATAATGAGACACAGGACGTAGGTATTACGCCAACACGGCGGCCGAACCTGTATAAATCTTGTGTCTTGTGCCTTCTGTAACCATCTGGTTCCTGATTACACGCACCGTCTACCGACAATCTAC